GAATTAAGAAGAGAAGAAAAGGGAACTTGAACACAGGCAAAAAGAGTTTACAGTTTAGGTATATATATATATATCAGTTGGTCAATTTGCGAGGCCGGATTCTCCTAAGGCCGGGCCTCCGCCCACTCGAAAACCCTACAAGGAGGACTTGAATGATTTCAAGGCCATGCAGGCGGGGGGCGATGGCGACGAACATCGGTGCAGATGCTGATACAGACAGTTCGACCCAAGCAATGAAGCAGTTCTGAAAATTGATCTTAATGTCCACCTTTGAATAATAAACCCCCCCTCCCCTTGATCAAGCGCAGGCCCTAAATAATGCAAAATCCAGAAAAATACAAGAAACATCTTGATTTGACATGGACATAAAAGGAAAATGAAAGGAAATGAAAGGACAGAAAAGGACATGAAAGGAAAGGACAATTGACAGAAACATGAAAGGACAGAAAGGAAATGAAAGGGAAGGAAAGGCAATGAAAGGACATGACAAGAATTGTAAAGGACGCCACCAACAGAACCAGCCAAGGTTTGTTTAGTATTGTTTGAGATCTGGAGTAATTGAAGGTTCGTGCTGCTGGTGAGGCCAGAAAGGTTTGAAACAAAAAGGTTGACAGTGACAAACAGGTTGACAGGAATCAGCTGAATGCTCACAATCAGTTTGGATGAATTAAGGTTTGGAAGCAGCTGAAAGTCAGGATCCAGAGAAAGACCTCAGTATAATTTGGGGGCCATTTATATATAGTTTGTTTGTTGAAAAACATCACATGATTCACGGGCCATTTATAAATCAGTCAACATTAGTTTGAACGCACTGTGGGGCCTGCCGCCAACGACCGACCGGTCAACCGGTCGGTCTCCGTCGGTAGGTCAGCCGGTCGGTCGCCTTCGAAAAGCTCGTACTCAGCGTGAGGTCCTGATTGGCCTTCGCCTCAGCTTGTTCCGGACTTGTTAACAGAAAGGGCCCACAAACGGCATTGATGCTCTCGAAGACTTTGATGGTTGCTTCGCAGCTTCGCATTGCTTCCTGCGAAAGGACAAGATATCGGCCCTGTTTCGAATCAGGAAGCCACAGCCTGAGAGCCTACATCCTAAGCGTGAAAGTTGGGGCGACAACAAGAATTCCTCAAATAACGCGGCGATTTTGTCACAATGACAGGGTGCTTGCTACGAGATTGCCAATGCTGCGGCCGGCCATGTTCTCAACAAGGAAGACATACAGTGAGAAAGAGAGAGAGAGACAGCGAGGGAGGACTAAAGAAAGATCAAAGATGATAGAACAGAAAGGAAAACCACAGATAGTAATAAAGTACCTAAAGTTGATAGAATGATATATATATATATACCATATACATAGTACATTACTTCAAAGTACGTTCTGTTCTTTAAGTACATAAATGATAATCCCTAATTCAACGGAGGCTCACAATGATGGGGAATGCTTCTTGAGGCAAAACCATGGCGAGCACTCCTGGAGTGATTGTGTGGTGAACTCAGGGGTTACTACTAGCTTCTTGTTACTACTAGTAAGGCACCTGTTACTACTAGCGTGGCACTTGTTACTACTAGCTTCTTGTTACTACTAACCACAGACTGCCAGCGGTTGGAGGCCGCTAATAGGGTGGAATGGCTCTTGCTTCGGGATGTGACAAGCGTGGATGAAGGTATGATCCAGATGCATGCGGAGCTGGGAAGTCGGCTTCTGAAGGGAACCATTAAGACTTGTTCTCTTTTTCCTCTTCGAGCTTGCGACTTTTCATGAAGAGTGTGTGTGTGTTATTATATATATATATGTTTTAAATAGATACTTGAAGCGCTTGAAGACTCGATTGGATCACCATGAATATAAGTGGTCTTCTGACAACAGCTACCCCTTCCGATTGGATTCAGACAGCTTTACTGAAGTGACAAGACGACGCATTCTCTCAAGACGACGCCACTGTCTCCGAGGGCCTTCATCCATTCCTCTGGGAAAGGGAAGTTCGAGCCAATGACGGTCAGGGTCCAAAGGGTTCACTTGTTCAGAATTTGTCACTAAGAGGGCCTCGAATCTACTAGCAAGGACACTCAATAGCAATGGCCTCCACCCTAGTAGCGATGGCCTCTACCCTAATTTGTGTTGGTATGATAGACACTTAAACTTCAGAAGTGAAGTTCATTTTGTTGGACTGTTCCCAAGCATGATGATTTGGAAGTGAATGATATCCTGCTGGAAGAAAACGCTCCCAGCAGGATCGTGTCGTTTGACGATTCTTTGTGTGTGTGTGTTGAGGTAGCTGCAGGTCCTGGAAAGCCCGGGCCTAAGTGGTACAAGCGACATGAATAGAGCCTGACAAAAGGAGCTTTTCTGGGGATTTGCGATATGACTGTCACTGGCAAACATCGACATACTATTGGCCGTGACATGTTATCTGAGCTTCAAACAGCTTCATTGTTTCATAGAATGGAGGCACAAGTACTATGCTGCGAACTTCGAGGGCAAGGTGTGGTACTAGACTTTTTGCAGATGAACTTAAGCTAAGCTCTTTAGCAGCAGTGTTCCCTGTTCTGGAACCAGCCGACTTGCAATTTCAACTTTTGGACAATTCCAGATCCAAGAGCTTGCAGCAACAAGGAACAGCCTTCTTGCGCATGCTTGCGTTTTTGGTTTAAACATGTTTCATGTTTAAACTGCAGATGCTGTTTGGCATTCCAGATTTACAAGTGGAAAGACCTGAACCGAGGTAGTGGCTGGATACAAGGACCTTGTTGGCACATGTGCAGACATCCCCCAGAGTCAGCACCTCAATGCTGGATTCGGATCTTGCGTTGGTGTAAGAAGCAGAATTGATCATCAAGATCGCCTCCAACCTACTAGCAAGGACACCTAATAGCAATGGCCTCCAACCTACTAGCGGTGGCCTCCACCCTAGTAACGATGGCCTCCACCCTAATAGCGTTGGTGTGATAAGCAGAATTTGTCACCAAGATGGCGCTGAAACCATCAACTGGGAGGCTGGGCCCCCCTATAGGGGCTTTATTGAGACTAAGAAGATGAGTAGAAGACATTGTCGCACACAGGTCTTTTAGAAGCATGAGGGGAATCGCCTTTTCTTCTTTGAGAAGCATGAGGTTTGATGGATCTTTTTTAGACAAAAGGCCTTCTCGTCCTTGTTCCTTGCGCATAAGGATGGTCTGGAATTGGGTCCTGTCCACATGCTAAGACCGTTCGCGTTCGCAGCGAACACCGAGCCCACACCCAGATCGCGAACACCGAGCGTGGTGGCAAGTGCTGAGCAGTCCGTACAAGCAGCCTCGACAGGATCAGAACGGCACGCTTGAGATGATGTGAAATCTGGGTGATGTTGTTTGATTATTTGAGATCCCGTTCCGATCGAAATGGTTCCGTTCTGATCGATTCTGTTTCTAGTTGACAATTTTCTCGCTTTCAAGGCGCATTCAGGCCGTGCCTTTGAGGCACTGTCTCCCAGCCACCAAGCTGACCAAGCTGACACCAGCACGCTAAGAAAGCGCGACGGTTCGAACATGGAGAAAAGCGGGTTATGGCACACGGAGAAACGCGTTCTCGTTTGGGGACAAGGACAGCTTTCGTTGGTCTTTTGGGAGTCCAAAACGTGTTGGTCTTCTTTTGAACACCCCCCAAAAGAAGCTTATAAGATGGCACTCGTTACTACTAGCTTCTTGTTACTACTAGCGTGGCACTTG